AAGCTATTGACAAATGAGGCGACACCGCCGTGAAATATTTGGAAAAGTTTCGTGTTGGAATTCCCCATGCAAAATCCGTGTTTGGCTGTCGTGAATGACACCACGGTTCTCCTCGCATACGGGATATTGGCTCATCCCGTTTTCCTTGTAACACATCTGTTTTAGACCAGAGTTACACCATCTAGTCCTGGAAGCAGTTGATGACCAACAGGTGTGTGCGGTCGCGAATCTGATTGTCAGATCCAGTTGAAGCTGTCGAGGAGACCGGGTACGGTTGCTCAGTCTCATGTTGTCTGTCGACTGGCGCCGTTGGCTCGTGTGTGGTTTATTGTAGTACTGAAAATGTTGTGATGGCTGGTGAGGTAGGCGTACGAGAGGGGAGCGCTGAGGACGTCGTTCATTGGGTGATCACTTGAGAATTTGTCTGGCTCCTGTATAGGAGGGCTGGCCTTTGGGCCACGCTCAGGCCTCATTTGCCCTGTCGTCTTGGGAATGCATGTATTGAACCTCACTTATGTCTTCTTCCGCCTTATGGGAAGCCTCGTGATGCTACAGCAGACGCTAAGAAACCAGGTAATCAATTAAGCAAAGTATCGAAAAAAGCTTTTTTGAGGCATCAGAATAAATGTAACCCAATTAAAATTGTGATACACAGTCTTGCAAATCTTTATGCCCAAAGAAGCAAGTTGCTGTTCAAATCTAATAGTTTGTGACATAAAATTTTGTTTTCGGCATTAGATTTTAAATAAAATGTATTATTTTACTACTTTTTATTTAAGTAATAGCCCTAATCAGTTTTTAATAATAAAGTCATTTCTTGTTTTGATGAGCTGCATTTCGTTACAACCTCCCAAATTCAGCCGGCCGTCTTGGGTACCGTTCCTCTTGTAGGCGTTTATCATGGCTCTCTTCAAACATGGTTTCCGTATTGATATTTTATGGAGTTTACCAGCTTTTCATCGGCGATATTAGCTTGTATTCTTGTTTGGTCCTTCTTTGCCTTAGTGCTAAGCTAAATTTCGTTGGTACGCAGAAACAATGCGAAAGTATTTTGCTTTATCGTTTTTTCCACCTGAAATAATTTCTTTTTTATCTTATTTATACGCTGTTTTGCTAGGGCTATGTATTTGTCTTCTCTTAGCTCGTTTGTTATTCCTTTTCTATCTTCAGGTCTTAGCTTTTAAGAGGGTGTAGTAGCTGACTTCTAGCTCTCTTTTGGTTATGGTAATTTTGCAGCAACGCATTTCGCTCGCCTAAAATAAGTAGTAATTCTGTACTTTGCTTTAGGCAATGTAAGGTCATAATCGGGCAATATTTGTTTTAGATTTCTATTTGGTGGAGATTTATAATACTGATCCGTCTACAAGTGTTGAAATCGCTGAAGAGGCAACTCTTTTCTATGAAAAATCGTTCCAATGGAGGCCTACTGGGAATGTAAGATTCACTATCAAGGTTTTTCGTTTTAGCCCTGGCTGCTTTCTCCAACAATAGTGTGGATTATCCTTATCTTCCAAGCATAGACAAACCGGTTTGGATTTTAGGCGAATCACGAAGCTCCTTGAACGGTGAGTTTATGCACACACGCTGTTTCGCAGATTGTTTATGTCGTGTACAGCATTTTGTCAGCTTTCCTCTATTGTTTAGACCAAGAGGAGATAGCCAATGATATCCGCTCAAGGTTGTGGTTCACATACCGACGAGGTTTTGCGCCGATTGGAGATGAAAAGGGCCCCACCACAGACACCGGTTGGGGCTGTATGCATCGATGCGGTCAAATGCTGATTGGCCAGGCACTGATACAGTTGCGTTTGGGTAGAGGTCAGCGATTTCTGACGTTAATTCCTTCCCTCCATTAACAATTGAGCCACGCATGTTGATGGAACTTGGATACTTTTTTTCTCCTTCGAAGGATGGCGATGGAATCCTGATCGCTTGGATCGGCCATACTTGCAGATTTTGAGGATGTTTGAAGACAAGCCAACTGCACCCTATTCTATTCACAAAATAGGTTAGCGATCGAAATCGCTACTGTTCATAATCTCCTTTGTGTAACCTCAACGTTCTTTTTTAAGCCTCCAAGGCCGCATTAGATGACAATAGGACTGTCAGCAGCTGGCTGGGGCCAAACACGGTTGCTCAAGTTCTTCGGTAGGCTTGTAAATTTAACCATTGACGCCCTATGATCATTCACTGAACTGCCTATAATTGGTTAGGAGCTGCGGTCTTTCATTGTTTTCCACCTTGTCAAAAGCGGGGTGCCTAATTATCTGGTGTTTTTTGGATCTGAGAAAAAGTGACTGAAACTGACCTGTACTTTGGAATTTTCACGAACTTAACCTCTTAATAAAGATCTTTCAATATTGGATCTGAAAGTGGAGTAGCAATCGTGGTTCCATTGTCTAGAAAACTCTCTGCTGGTGATCGATGGACCAACCTCGTTGTTCATGTGACAACAGAAGATGGAATCGTGGTGCAGGAAATTAGTAAGCTCTATGATTTATTTTGTCCCCTTTCATACTGAATTACTGTTACATATCTGCGAGCTTCACTCACGACATCAATTCGTCTCAGTCCCAATGATCTAAGGTTGGACACGACCGTCTTTTTATATTGGAAATAGTCTCCCTTTGCTCCTTTTAAGTGGACAACCTGCTCAAATGGTGCATTTTCCTTGACTGGCCCTAGTTTTCAGTTTATTGGAAAATTGAGCCTATCCTTCCATCACCTTTAGATTCTTTCCTGATTTTTTGGGGTTGAATCAGTCAGTGGTTCTCGTTTACTGCAAAGCTTTTTTTTCCACTAGAAAGCCTCTGTCATCAAAATGCTCCCAAAATTATAGCAACTGATGGGACAACCTACGATAAGGTTACCTCACCTCCTTCTCCCACCTCTTATGATTCTCTTCACTCCTCACAATTGCGAAAAAATAGCGACAGGTCAGTAATCTTCGGTATCCCCTTCGAGCATTCACACAGTACGGATTCCTTATTTTATTGTACCAAGAATTGGACTCTCTCGATCTCTATCATTAGTGCTTACCTGTAGTAGTCTAATGCAAATTCAGTTCTCCCTACATGTTTTAAGACCAGTTATCGTGAGCAGTCCGATAACTGTGGAGGAGGACGATGAGAGTGTGGCAATAATACTACCTCCGGTACACATTATGCCTCGTAACATGTCGAGCTCATTGTTGGAGGCAAAGACTCCAGTTGAAGATGACTCCTCTCCAACTACGGAGACCCCGAACCCCGAGTTCCTCTCCATGCCTACTACGACAGCTGCTGCCTCCTCCACATGGCACCCTTTACTTCTTATACTTCCCCTCAGGCTCGGTCTCCACGAGTTTAATATGCGTTACGCACCTGCGCTTCAAGTGAGTCTTCTCTTGATTCAGGAACTAACGGTTGACAAAGTAGATTGTTATGAACGGTAGTCCACAGAATTCTCTTTTGAAGATCTCACTTGTTTCAAGTCGCCTTAAGACCATCTCCGGTTTACTAAAACAAAGCTTCTTATGTAGTTGAATTTTTTCCCTTAGATGTCTACGTTTTCCAATCGTTGAAACATCCCTGATTTGGTTAGACTCAAGCACTGAATCTAAGCCCTTTTGAAACGGTTTTAACTGTTTTGAAGCAGTTGTGCCCCTTTATAGTCGCGTATTGAAAACATTGCCAATGAATTTAGGAAGCTTTGATAATAGTGTCGAAGAATCTACTCCACCTATGGTGAGATCACTGCAGCCTCAGGTTCTATCCAAATGTGTTTATAGAACCTGAATGTCTATTTTTTGGATAATACAGATTTTATAGATTAAAGCAAGACGACGATTGCGGAAGTTCTGAAAAACACTAGGAGACAATTCTGTAAAAGGCCTAATCTCCAGTTCTATTAATTCCCAAACCACACAGCAAAGTACTGCTCCATTAGAATGAAGACTGACGCTGTACGTGATATGCTGTTGGTGACAGGGTCTATTCAAGCTGCGTCAATGCGTGGGTGTGATAGGGGGGAGACCAAACCACGCCCTCTGGTTGATCGGGAGTGTGGGGGATGACGAGGTTCTTTGCCTCGACCCGCACACCACGCAAGCAGCGGCAATTCTGGGTGAGCCAGCAACGGGAAGCGGCAATGAGGACGCCTCGCTAGACGGCTCTTTTCACTGTACCAATCCTCTACGCCTTCCGCTGCGATGTCTCGACCCCTCCCTTGCAGTAGCCTTCGTTTGTGGCACCGAGGCTGACTTCGACGACCTCTGCACACAGTTACTCGCTGATCAGCTCTCTTCCTCCCTCTTTGAAGTCCACGAGACTCGCCCCTGCAACATTCCCCCGCCTTCTTTCACCGCTCTTCGCACTCCTGAGGGATGGAGTGAGCTCTTCCCCACTTCTGCCCTCACGATTTCTGTCCCACCCACTCTGAGTTCCAAATGCAAAACGGGTGAGCCGCTGACACCCTTGTTTTTACCATTCTAATCCTCATTCAAGCTGAGCGCATGATAGCGACTTCGAATGTGGCTGGTAATATACGTATAAAATTAAGATTTATGCCAAGTTTACCGATGCCTGGAAGAACACAATCAGATTCTTCCAGGTCCAATCCAGCAAACAGGATCGTAATCCTGTGAATTAGGTTAATTTGTACTTGGGACTCCGAAACTTTATACTATTCTTATGCTATTTGGCAATGCGCCTTAATAATTTCCCCTTCAATTGCGTAAACCCTTATTCACAAACCAGAACAGAATCAAATCAATTTCTAGAAGTTTGGGAGGATCTTTATTTATCAACTATTATAAAATGCAACTTTTCTTCCATTACAGATGGCGACTTCGAGTTGGTATAGTTCGATGCACATCACCCAAAGTGGCTAGTTCGTGCTAACGAACTAGCTCGATCGCCTTATTCCACTTCAACAATAACTGTACATTCGAGAAAATTTACAAATACAAACTGCACGCAATGCATACGTGCGTTTCCCATTTTTCTACTGCTTGCATTAATAACCCAAAAAATTATCAATAAGCTTCTCTGACACTTCGGAGACAGTGGACCTAGTCTTTGGCGATAACGTAAAGTGGGTCCCTATCTCTCGTGCAAATTCAAAAAAGTCAAAAAACATTTAAAGTGAAACTGCTGGTCTGAGCCTACAATTGGTGATTTTTTCGGCAACTTGTCGCAGAGTTTAGATAAGTACTTCCCACCCATTCATCCAAGGCAAGCTCGATTTTTTTGTCTCCAAAGTCGTGAGTGATTGTCTATTCATCACCACATACAATTGCGTTTCGGTTAGCTAGTCGTGGAGTGAGCGTTTCCCACAATGATCAACGCACAACCCGGCGTCAGCAATTAACTGACGGAATAGGTTCGACACATCAATCTCAACGAAAGCAGATTTACAAACACCGGCAGCAATGCACAGATGTCGGATCTGACTCGGCCGCGGACTTTATTTCATGGTCATAGAATTAGTCAAGCTGCAGGTAGCGAGGTTTGTAGAAGAAACCTCTTGTGGAAGAGATGACGTACTCTAAAAATGGGCATGGAGTGACCAAGAACTCGTAGGTCTGACTCGACATAATCCATTCATTTCAATCGCAAGTAAACATTGCCTGAGCTTAAAAATAAGTTGTTCATATTTGTAGCAGGAAGGTTCGATATCTACATGCGCTCAGAGAGCTTTACATACCGCCTCAAATTCTCGGCTAGTTCGCCATGAATTACCTTTGCCACTTCGACACCACCGCGAATGAGAACGATGAGCTTTTCTGATGGGAGCCATGACGAGAGCCGAGTGTGAAGGAGGCGGGCACCAAAAAGCTGCTGCGACGAAGGAGGTGGGAGATTCTCCATCAGCGTATTTGAACCCGGGTCTGTGTCTCCAAAGAGGCAAACGACAGTGACCCGAGTAACGCGAGAGTTCTCTTCATACCGACATAAGTCGGCGAACAAGCGCGACCCATAAAAGCCTGGGAGAAAAAGTGACAAGTACTTTGATGCTCAGTAGGTAGCCGTGACGTTGCAAGACGTACCCACGTTTGACGCAACGGCGAAACCAATCATCTCAATTCCAGCGGCCACTAACGCTAGACTGGCAGCATTGATTGCGGTACTGAATTCTGAGCCATCCGATTGAAGAACTTCAATAAATATATCTATTTGAGCTGTTGGGTAAAGTGAGCCACGAATCAGAGCTGAAAAGACTTCCTGCCGATCGGAGAAATAAAAGCATTTTAGCGTGCAGAAGCTGGTAAATAGACATCGAAACAAAGCATAATTGAACCCTGTCCGATGATAGAATGTGGAACCCAAATAAACTCAAATATTTAATGCGGCTTGGAGCCCCATTTTAGTGTTTTGTTCAATTTTTCATGTAAAAATAAGCAGGATTAATGCTGTATGTAATGTGGTCAAACCTCGACAGTCATTGCGTATTCCGCCGCAACTTTATCGGAATGGGTGTGCTTCTGTCGGTCGCCTGAGGTGTTAACAAAGGGAGGTCGATTGTACTGACAAGTGACATAAACCTCGTCGGGTACTTCATCAAGTTTAGCGTTGCAAGGGTGAGGACCGAATACTGAGGCAGTTACTTTCGTATTCCCTTGTTGTAGGAGAACAGAACCGTCTGCCAATCCAGGTAGGAATTCACATTGAATAGCGCGCAATTCGGAAGTCTTCCTCCCATCAACGCGACGATCATTAAAATACAACTCCGACATTAGAAACGCAGCAAAGCAAGGAAACGCTCCCAAGGTCTCGCGAACGCAAACCAGTGTCGACTCACTTTAACAAGCAGAGGTACGAAGTTGTAAAGAGAATATTGTCATTGCTAATAGGCAAGATTATCGGTCAGAAGCAAAAGTAAAATTTAATTTAGCTGCAAAGTTAGCCCAATGAAATGGTCGAAAATATCATCCAGAATGTGACGTATCATTCCTTTGATGGCAGACAATCAAAAGACGCACTTACGCAAAAATCAACTAGGAAGAGGTTCTTAAATGCTGTAAATGTGCGTTAAGCGTCACGCATGCTAATTATAAAATTTGCTTCGGATAGTTATTTAGATACATGGGGTGACTTAGACAACAACACGAATCAAAGTAGCTGTGGTCCAACCGAAATGTATAAAGCAAACCAATAAGAGAATGGTTATAAATTCCCTCTTACCATGTTAAATATATTTTATTCCTTATTGTATGTTACATATGTGCATTTAAAACGTTTCATAAATTCTGCACACTAATGATAACATAACACTATATATTTTAACCACGGATAATTTACTTTCCTTAGCATTCACTTTTGTTTGCTTATGTCGCAGACTCTTTCTAGAGTAGTTTCGGTTCTGCGTCGTTTCGTTGGGCGTAGGTTTGTTGCATCTGGTGGTGAGCCGCAGAGAGTTTATTTTGCATGCTCTGTGCTAGGCGTACTGGTTTAAAGTCATTCTGGATACTGCGTGTGTTAGTCCCATGCTCTGTGGATAGTTCGTCATTTCTCATCCGTTCCATTACTATGTTTGGGCATTTGATAGTGGTTCGCTGAGTTTTTTCTGCTGCAGTAAGGCATTTTGTTTCGTTTATGTCTTAATTATTGCATTGTATGGCAATTATGTTAGCAGTTTTTGTTCATACGCTCTAGTCTACAGGAGTTTTTGCCTGTTTCGATTATCTCCGCTACCTGGTGGGTATTTTAGGCATGCAGGTACAAAGCAGAGCCCGTATTTATGCTGATGTGAATCTGAACAAGCCCCGTGAGTATTGGGACTATGAAAACTATACCATTAACTGGGGAGACCAAGATGATTACCAAATCGTGCGGAAGCTTGGCCGTGGAAAATACAGTGAAGTTTTTCAGGGGATAAATGTTACCAACAATACCAATTGTGTTATCAAGGTGCTTAAGCCAGTGAAGAAGAAGAAGATTCGTCGTGAAATCAAGATTTTAGAAAATCTCAGGGGGGCCGAAAATATTGTTTCTCTCTTGGCTGCTGTCAAGGATCCTGTGGTAAGTTAGTGCGCGTCTATGCTAGTCACACGTCTTGAAATCCATAGTTTATACCAACGTTGTAGTCTACATTGCTTGTCGCCATCTTGGATTTGCTAAAATTATTGTTTGCAAATCCTCATGGGTTTAACCGCGTACTTTTTTCAACCTCCAGTCGAGAACTCCAGCCCTTATTTTTGAATACGTTGACAACAAGGATTTCAAGGATTTGTACCAAAATCTGACTGACTACGACATTCGGTTCTACATGTTCGAATTGCTTCGCGCTCTCGATGCATGTCACAGCATGGGAATCATGCATCGCGATGTCAAACCTCACAACGTCATGATTGACCATCCAATGAGGAAGCTCCGCCTTATTGATTGGGGTCTTGCTGAATTTTACCACCCTGGTCAGGAGTACAATGTTCGCGTCGCATCTAGGTATTTCAAGGGGCCAGAGTTACTTTTGGATTATCAGGTATGGTCGGTTTTCCTCTGCTTTAAATCGTTTCAAACCTATTGCTATTTTTAGGAGGCGTAGAGAACGAGGTTAGCAAATCCACTTTTCCGTTGTAGACATATGACTACTCACTCGATTTGTGGTCTCTGGGTTGCATGTTGGCAAGTATGATATTCAAAAAGGAACCCTTTTTTCACGGCCACGATAATTATGACCAGTTGGTGCGCATTGCAAAGGTTTTGGGCACGGTTGAGCTGTTTGATTACATTCGTAAGTATAACATTGAAATGGATCCTCGTTTTAATGACATTCTGGGAAGGCATGGTCGAAAACGCTGGGATCGTTTTATTACGGCTGACTGTGAGCATCTAGCAACACCAGATGCGATCGATTTGCTCGACAAGTTGTTGAGATATGATCACCATGAGCGCCTTACGGCGAAGGAAGCAATGGAGCATGAATACTTTGCCAGCATTCGAAAGGCCCGCTCCGAGGGCGCTGCTGCTGCTGCGGTTGTTGCTGCGAATAATGGGAGCAAGGAAGGATGCAACAGCGTTGGCGATGTTAATTCAAAGGATGTCGCAAACTAGTTTATGCTTCCCTCAAGAGTTGGTAAATGGACGCTGAGTTGTGCTGTAAATCTTTCAGTAGTCTCATGGTGATAGCACTTATCCTTGTCCCTTGTACATCTATTCCCTTCCCTACTCACTAATCAACCAATTTGTCAGGCGTTCCTTCCCAACGGCTTCGTTTCCTTATGCAAAATTGTACAATTAAACTTGAAATTAAAAGCTGTTAGTGGGGAGTGGGGGTTTTTTCTCGTTGGTGTTTTCCCTCACCTCTCGTGTATCCTGGTGCGGGAATTTATTTTTGTTAGCGGAACTTGGATACCAGTCACCTTGGGACCCGTTACGCGGCGCAGTGCGGTTACTCTGGCGCCATGGGATTAATTTTCTTGTTCCATAATCTTTTAGCAGGACTCTAATTATACAGTTCTGGTGCTCTTTTGAGTGGTTTTCCAATTGGTGCATTGGGTTGAGTTCGCGCAGCGGGATTGGAGATGAAGCGGCTGTTGGAGGTCCTTATAGAGGTTGGGAGGTATTCGCTTGTGTGTTTTGGTGAATTGCTCTGGCTACTTTTATCCAACTGATGCCTCAAGTCTGGTGATTGGTTCGTGTTCCAGTTGATGGGGTTGATCTTTGACGGAACTAGAACTAGCAACTGTTTCATTAGCGTTTTGGCATCAGTGTGCCTGTGAGAAGTGGCTTCTGGAATGTTGCTGGAGTAGTGCTGTGTTGCATTTCAGCATTGGGTTCCAGTTTGAAGCTTACAGGAATTTGGCGTTCGAATATTGCAGCCTAATAATGGTTGTAACGGGGCTGAAGTGTCAGCCTTAACGAGACTAACCCGCATAAATAGGCGTTTAACTGGCTTTTGCCGATTTATTTGAGCCAACTTATCTGGAGTCATCTGGCAACGGAAGTGGTAACTCTGAAACTCGCCTTCATTAAGGCCAATTTCACTATATCGACCGGCGTTTAACACGTGTCCCTGAACTGCAAGGGTACCAAACACAGTGAGCAGACCACAGTAAGTAAGTGATTTGTGTTATCTACATAATGAAAGATTTCTGCTAATTTGGAGTAATCTAATCTATGCAATCGCAATGCGAAGCTCACATCTGCACAATGTTTGTGCTGTCCAGGAGGAAATTGAAAGCGTTGTGAATGTCGAACAGTTCCACAAATTCACCTAAACGACACAGCTCCAGCCATGAGGTTTAGGTGTGGATTTGTAAAGGCTGCACTGAACGCGTTGTAAGGTTCTAAAGGGCTCAGTACAAATTGTTGAAGACTGTCAAGAGGTCTGAAGTCTGTGGAATCTTTAAAATTGGCTCAACTTTATTTCTTTTATATGCTGTTAACATTGTTGGACTTCACAGTGGCTAGGTAGCCGTGGTATTCCCTGCTGTCTCTTAAAGCTTTTGCTACTACCTCAATCACGCAATCCTTTTTGGGTTTCACTTTGAGTCAGATTATTTGGGAATGGTTCTTGTGATCATAGGGATGGGGCTAAAATTTATTTTGCCTCGGTTAGGAAGTACAGCAATCCCCACTCATCAACGGAGCGCTTAGATTTCAAATTTCAATTTCGACTGCGGGTGATTCCTAACCAACCTTACCTGACACGATGTGGAGGCTAACCAGGCAGACACGTAAGGCCGAATCAGTCAAGTGGTTTGGCGAAATTGATGAAACAGACTGCAACGTCCTAGGGCGTAGTTTGTAGACTAGCTCAGCCGGCAGAATCAGTGCAGGCACACAAGTGGCCACAACCGGCACAGGTAGTCGGACAAACAAAATCTTACACGGAGCACTTCGAGTTACGTGAATGCTATTATTGAATGGGTTGTGATTAAGGGAATAGGGAACGATAACAAGTCACCTCCCTGTGGAACATCGCTTTTTTCGCTATGTATCTTTGTCGTATATTGTCCTCATCCAGCTACCAAATGACCACTTCGTTTTGCGAATTTCAGAACGCTGTATGTCATTTGTGAACGCAATGTCGGAGTCGCATGCTTCCCATTCTCTGCAGGCCTTTTCGTCGCTGACATTGAGGCCATCTTTTTGCAACAAACGAGCCGGATTTAAGAAACAACTCCTTGCAACGGGATCGTGAAGGGCGTCATTCGGTGCAAAGAGGTCGCAGAAAATGTGTTTTGCCAGCATTAGGAAGGGTGACGTTAGACATTCGAGCGAAATTATGGCAAGCACACATGTAGACAACTGTTGTTCGATAGCTAAATTTATTTTCCTTTAATTGTGTCATCTTAATCTGCTAGATGAACTTGCGTCTACGAAAGCCGATCCACTCCAGATGATTTTGCAGTGGTGTGTGGTGGTTTTTGACATTCTTCTGCCATCAAGCGTACGCATATAACTGAATGTGTCTGAATTTCAAGTAAAAAGGATGCTTTAATTTAAAAATAGCCCTAAAATCATCTGCTGTTTGGTGGGAAACCTTATTATGTCCAGATAGATAGCAAAGGAAATGCTATAAACACTATCAGAGGTACTTACGTGTTCATGATGGTATAAAAAAGACACGGCGACGTAAACCACCCTCGAATTTAATGTTTGACGGGGAGACACAAATCATAAAATTGTTTAGTAAAGTGGTCTACAAGAGCCACTCGCACTGTTACAGCACTGAAGCCTTTAGAGCCATCAACGCTTTTAAGAAATAAATGCCAGGCTTCTCTGCCTCTTTTTATTCATCGTTCTGTGTGCCCTACTTTGAGGTAATGCTTAAAGCTTAAGTGTCCTCATGCAATTCTTATCTTTGTGAATTTTATGCCTTTTGCATGTGTAGAATTCTGAAGCTATTTTGGACTCCCTTTAAGAGGTATTTTGGTGATGTGTGTCTCCTTTACTACCAAGGTCATCCCTCCATTAAAACCGTCAAACTGTGTTTCGCTTGGAGAAGGAAAGTAAAGCAATTTCGGACTTTCATGCTAAACACCGAGGTGCGCTTGTTAGTTATTATTAGCTCCACCCGAAAGCCATGTTTAACTTCTTTCACGCTAATTACTGGCTACATAAATTCTCAATGGCATTTCGGAGTGTCTCTCCTGTGACCACCCAAGCGTCTTGGCAACGCAAGATACGACATGGTCCAGAAACTAAATTGAGCGACACATGATGGGACAGGTTACTTAGCGTAAAGAATGATGATCATAAATTTAAGCAGCTTCTTGCTGAATTGGACTGTTCATTAAAATAAATTTTGGGCAAAATTTATAGGTCATGAATTAGACCTGATTTAGAGTCGGGTGCGTTTCAACGACGTCGCCACAGCGTTGTTGGCATGGCTAGCCTCCGCAAACATTCGTTAATACTGTTTCATTTGTCAAGATATGAAGTCTCGCTTTTACTGCAAATTAAAATTAAAGGTCATTTGAATTATGCAAGTCACTCTTGCTTTACTTATACTCGGGCAACTATTTTAGAGGTTGACCAGGAACTCTTGCGCATAAGATGAAGAATCATGTGTCACTGGCTCGGAAAAGTGTAAAAAACTTCGGTGCGGTAAAGGCTCTCGGAGTGGACTTAAGCGTCATTATCGCTAGTCGTAGAATCTGTTACGAAAATCCTTTGGATCCGATCTACCGGAAAAGTGTGATCTTGCTTAGCTGACACGGCTAACTTGGCAACCACCATGGGGGACGTACCTGATCCAGTGTGAAGTACTAATTTATTACTTCGACTGGGGGTAAATGCAGTAAATAAAAGGCAGAATGAGGTCGTTTTTTAAATCAATTCGAGCATAGGTTCCAGTAATTGCACGTCGGTTTTGTCCAGAAATTGGTATTACTGCGTCCTCGAGATTGTCTAACAGCATTTCACTGCCTTCAATGAATATTACATGCTCCTAATAACATTCGAATTGAAATATCACGGTCTCACACCACTTACACTATCTGCTTTTTTAATTGTACGCTCGACATTTGACTTCACTTCTTGCCAGCTTGTCCAGACCTCTACTGTGTTCTAAGGCAGAACACGTTCCCGCTCTGAACTTGGAAATTTGAAGGAAAAGCATGCAAGATTTTGAAAACTGCTGAGTAAAAGTTCATGGTTTACGCTTCAAAATCAGCCCTGTTCCTTTAAAACTCCACTATAGCATATTTTGTGCATAATTTGTAGTTCTATTTGGACTTTTGCCAATATGACACTCTTTGAATTTGATATAAATGGGAAGTACTTGACCTTCACGTGCCTTTCCAATAGGTCGTAGTGGTAATTTGCATGTTTAGCGTTTCCTTGCCCAAACATAGACCTTCAAAGAAAGCTACTTATAGCACATTTCAAGGAGGGCATTACCATGGCAACAACTAGTAATTCGAATAGCTTTTTAATCGTTGAACCTCAGCATACTATGCGGAGCTCGCAATCCGAAAGTCGTGACAAAGGCTGCCATGTATCTCCCTACTTTGCCTCCCTTTTACTTCTTCATCTTACAACGTTTGCGTTCTGCTTTCCTTCCTGCATTGGATTTACATGTTGCAAATCGAAATCCCGTGCAAAAGTTGACGAAAGCACAAGATGTCTGTGGCTCTTCCCTGTAAGGCACTGCATCATGGCCATCTGATAAGGTACACTTCACCGTCAATAAATGAACCACCATTTGGCACCAAAGCTATCCCACTGGATCAAGTTTGCTACCCATCACCCCTGTTGATGTCTGACGTTCTCCATTAACCATCGTCATGCAAATAAAAAATGCAAGCATTTAGCTCAGTAATTCAGGTTCTAGTGAATTTAACTGAATACTTTCTAAAGAGCTTCAGTTTCGTACAAACTTTGAGGGAAGCCCCGAGCACTGGAAATATGGGGCAAACAGTCGCCACACGGAGCAGACAACTTAAGCCTCATTGAATTAACGTAAAATTGGGCTGCTTTTCGTATAAAACAGCTTTATTAATGGTTTTTGGAAATGGGAATCTGTTGTCACTTAATTTTAGTGAGCAGAAATTCAAGTGTTTTATGACGACAAAGGCGACATTCTACTTAATCGTGACTAAAAG